AAAAAAAAAAAAGCAAATCCTCACAAAAATATCTCCTACTGACTTTCCTTCATAGTTTCTCAACTTCCTTAATGAAATAACATCAAGGAACTGGACTGAAGAAAGCTAGGAAGAAAGGAGAGAAATGAAAATCACATTTCTGAAAACAATATAAAGAAAAGCACAGAGAAGGATCTGTGAAAGAAGGAATAAAAAAGTAAAAGCACAAAAGTCTGAGGACAAATTTGCAACACTGTATTTCAGTGGCTCATGCAGCAAATGGAAAGGTATATATATTTATGGCCATTATGTTAGAGAACGGCAGGTAAGGTGTGACATAAAGGTATGAAATGGGTTTATGAACCTGAAACTAAAATTTGTCTCATCATGTTACAGACACTGCCAGGTCTCTGGGAATACACCAGCCTCATATCATCTTGATGTTTATTCTGACATTCAAGAAAATCACTATCAACAACCAATTTTTGTTTTTAACCACCGTCTTGGTGGCTAGAAGAAAATGTTTTCAGCCAGCTATAGACAAAGACTATGCAAAAAGTATTACACTAGATGTCTCACACCTCATGGAAAACATGATTAAGTTTTTACTTTAGTTCTAATCAGCCAATTTGCCCTAGTATGGCTAAACTAGTATGGCTCTAGTTTATATCCAGCATTTGTTCTGATTGTTGGTGCCGGTCATTCCAGTTGTTTAATATTTTAAATATCATCCCTGGTCTAGTATCATACATCCATGAGTGCATGTGGCCTGATAAATACTTCTAGATGGGCCAAGACCAAGCCTGTGAAAACGCATGGCTAACCTAGAACCAAGCATGCCCATGACACTTGAACACATCTGTGATGGAGTTATCAAGCCACTGGTTGATTTTGATAGCTCTAACCAAATGTGTGTGATTCTGAAAGAAGTATTCTCAATTTCTGAAGGTGGTACTCTTTCATAGGTATGAGTCAGAATAAGAGAACTGCAAAGATGGGAGAATAGCCAAATCTCCTATCCATTGCAGAAATCCCCTCCACAATGTATTTATCCAGTAAATCTTTGCTTTGAACACTTTCACTAATAAGAATTTCTCTTTTTCTTGGAATATCTCAATCTAATATTCTCATTGAATGTCAGATCAGTACATGGCTCCTTCTCTTTCCATTCCCTAAAAACGATTTTCAAAATCAGCTTTCTATTTTTTCTATATTTTTTCTTTCATAAAGCTTTCTTTCACTCTCAACGTTCAAGAGTCACTTCATGGTTGACTTTGGGCATGATCTCTCCTCATCTTTAGTCTGGTATTCCTAACTACCTCTGAGATATGGGTTTTTACACTTAAAAAGACCTAACAATGTACTTCAATTTCTTTAAAATCCCTTCCCAATGTATATGCTATCTTTGCTGTGTATTTCCTCTTTTTTTTAAACTCAATAATAAATTATTACTGTTTTATACAACCTGTGTGTGTTTTAACTTAGTCACTTTGTATTTTTATTGTTCTCATTTTCCTTTGCATCTCAAATAATTATAGATATTTTAGAACTTCCTTTAAAGAAGGATTTCTAGCAAGGGTCCAGTACTGGCAATTCTCTGTTTTTGTCATATGGAAATACCTTAATTTTGCCTTCTTTCTTGAAAAATATTTTTGCTGGATATGATAGTTATTTTCTCTCAGAACAGTTTAGGTATCATTCCACTGTTCCTGGCTTCCTCTATTGCTACTGAAAAATCAGCTGTTGACCTCCTTTGAAGAGAATGTCTTTTTTCCTGACTGCTTTTAAGACCTGTGGCTATGAGGTCTGTCTGTAACGTATGGATTTAAAAAAAAATCCTGCTGGAGATTTCTTGGGCTTCTTTAAACACTGCCTCTGTCCCATATTCTTTCTTCTTCTTTGAGTATTCCAATTAGAATACTTCCTCTATTCTCCATGTTCCTTAAACTCTCTTTCAGCCTATCCTGCGCTGCTTTTCCATATAACTTCTTTAGTCCTATCTCCCAATTCACTAATTGTTTTTTATATTTCCCTGAACATCATCTCCTATATTCAATCCTTTACAACAAATCCTGAATGACGGACTCTACCTTCAAATCTCTGATTTATTCCCAAATACTCGATTTTATTGCTATCATCCTAGTTGTGGGCCTTATTTGTTTTTAGCTAAGTTAGAGGAACTTGGGGGATCTAAAACTTAGCCTGCACATACCTAACACTTGAAGCTTTCTAAAATATTGGACTTTTATTTGTTATGTTGGTCTCCTATCACAGAATCTTTATCATCTCCCTCTACTAAATAATGGGCTGAGCCCCAAAATATCATTTTTCCAGGATCTGGTCCCACTTTCCTATCCAAGCAGATTCTCAGCCCAAAATAGGCCTATCTTCTTTTTCACCCCCCACCTCAGTCATGTGCATTTTTGCTAACATGCTGTTGATCCAGTCTTCTGACCCAAATTATACCAATCCTTTCAGGCCTCTCTTTTGCAAAGTTTTCCCTGTTAACTCCCAACATGCTCAGTCTGCTTTCCAATTTCCTTGAGTTCTTGCATGTTCAGTACATATTTTAACTATCTTGACTCAGGTATAATTCTTTAGTATTTGAAGTTGAGCTATATGTAGCTTAACCATAATTCTAACATAGGTCTGACTTCAAAGTTTTTTTTCTTTCTTTTTTTAAGATAATTTTATTTTATTTATATATTTTTGGCCATGCTGCGCAGCTATGAGGGATCTTAGCTCCCCGACCAGGAAACGAACCCATGCCCCCTGCAGTGGAAGCATGGAGTCCTAACCACTGGACCACCAGGGAATTCCCGAAAGTTTGTTTTCTTTCTAATATAATAAAACTGCCTCTCACTATTCAATAAATATTTGTTGATTTGCCTAAAAAGAAACCAGATACTATAAAACCACACATAAAAATGCTTTACATTTCACTAGTTTATCTTAGCTTGGTTGGAACAAAACAATCTTAAATGGCATAAAAATTTTAAACTTTATTCATGTAAGTAAATTTCTCAGGAAATCCCCTCGAAGGGGATTCTGCAGCAGCTTATCAGTAAAGATAAACATTAGCTCCTTCAAATATAACCGCTCATTCTCTGAATCTCTAGTCAAACTGCACAACACCATCCTTCAGGGTAAATGTTAACTCCTAAAGTTGTAAGCCTAAAGGAATAGCTTACACATCTGGAAATTCACTTCCAGGGACCACTCCAGTGTTAAGGAAAAGGTACCAAAAGCCTAGTTTTATAAATTATTCTAATGTTGATAAGCAACTAATCCAGTTAAAATAGGTTGCACTACACCAATGTTACCCAATTCACTTTATAACAAATAGCCATTATGTCTAGACTAGACTTTAACAATTCAGTGAGAGTGACTGTTATTTGGGGCTTATAATGCAGAAACTTCTTTCTGTGTTAAAGTGCTCTTGTCTCTCTTTTTATTTCTAAATAACATAAAAAATCAAATTGAATCTTGAATTATCTTGAATAATTTGTACAGTTTTATATATATATAACACACACATATATATATAAAACACATGTATACTTTACATATATGTATTACATATATATATTTTACGTTTATATATATGCGAAAGAACCTTCTTGGCATGTATATTTTTGGAAGATAGTTGCTTAATTCTAGGCCAAATAGGGGAGGATAGACTGGAAAAGGTAAACTACTCTTAGTATTTCTCTCATAGGACAGTGTTTATCTCTCTTACCTTTCCTGTCCCGTCCTTCATCAACACATACTGGCAGACTTCCTAGGGCAATGCAGAAATCCAGACAAGAGAAGGAAGCACACTAAAATAATGGAGGACAGGCTACAGGAGATGGACAGTGTCAGACATCATGTGGGAGAAAAGAAGGAATTATCACAGTTAGCCACTTTGTTCAAGAGAAACTAAAACTAGTTATTTCAAAGGTAGAGAGATAAGAAAAAAAAGAAAGATCTTTTACTTCTTTGTAGAAAGGCTCTTTTCAATAAGAACAGAAAAGAGTTGCAGTTAATTTGGAAATTTGTCTTCAGAGAAACAGATATAACTTAGCAATAGTACAAAGGAACAAAGGATAAATAAGATTTTTCCAATTCCAAAATATTAATCGAGAGCTATAATTACAGGCTTTGAGAAAAGAAAAAAAAATTAGAACTATAATCTAGAAGCAGTTAAGAGAGTTGTTCTATCTTTCTTCTCCAAGAGAATACAGACTATTAAAAGCAATAGGAATCTCAATGTTTATACATACAAATGATGAATGAGGCATATGTGCTTAAGTATTCTTAATTACACGGTCTTACACTATAAAAAATAATATTGTCATACTTAACAATGAAGTTCTAGGAACTGAACAAAGTAGTCCCAGTGAGGAGCTCTATCACATTAGCGACAATCTTTTGTACATATTTGTCTGATGTGAAATACCTCCTCTACCTCTGCCCCTCCTCAACCTGTTCCCCCCCACACCCAATCTAGATACCACCGTGCTTGAAACACCACCATTGGGAGACAAGAGTCCTTCAGATTTAATAGCCTTTGTAATTTGGTATGTACCTTTCCCCCCCAAATGTAAGATGCTAGGAAAGTCTGAAGCTACTCACACTAGCAATGTGATTTTGTTTCTTCCAATTAGAGGTAGTTGATAAAAGTGGATACCTGGATGGATCAAGGTATAGGAAAAGGGGCAAAAGAGGATATGGAACCTAAGAAAAACTATTTTACAACCTTGGATACAACCAGTTGCTTTATTATGAAAACATCATAGGTTAAATCCTCTGTATATGTGATTTAGGCATTTCTTTCAAATTAACGTTTAATTTCAACAAGTTAATTAAAATTATAACATTTCTAAAAAAAGGTAAATGACATTTTTCTCAACGCCATATTTTCTGTAAAGTAAAAGGCAATTTATTTAACGATGAATTCATTTTTAAAATTTGAGTGATTTTATCAATTCTGATAACATCTAATTAGTCTATCCAAATTTGTTAAATAAAATGCATACCTCATATTCTTTTCTGCAAACTCTGGAAATATCATTTTTTGAAGATGCCTAAAAAATAACAAATTTCTGCATTAATTTATTTAATCCACATTAAACAAACATTAGCTCCAGATATGCTAGAATTTCACTCTCACTTTTATGGCTTTAATCTCACATAATGACACAGTCCTTTTGTTATTTCAGAAACTAGATAACTTTGAAGGAAATGTAAATCAGAGGACTTTTTTTTTAAGCTGAATTCCATTCTGTAGCAAATTTTCTTGTGAAGCTCTGAAGCTCTGCTGCAGTGAATTTTCTTGTGAAGCTTTGCTAGGGCATTTATAGTTTTCTTTTTCTTTAACCCTTCATGTTTTAAGTTCCCATATGAGCCAAGATCCATATATAACAGAGGAGACAACTAAAGAGTGAAAGGCAATGCCAGGCAATTAATAAGTTATTTTTATGTAATTTTCTTAACAAGTTTATGTAGAAGATATTATTTCTTCTACAGATGAGGAAACTGACAGACAGAAAAATAGAAAGTTATTTACTACATTTAAGTATACACTTTCTATAAAAAACAAGCCAAAACAAATCTGCTGAGGGGTGGCTGTTCTTCCACATGATGATAATCCTCATTTAGAGACGGAGTTCCAGAGCCATGGACTCTGGTTCCTTGTTCTATTTCCTCCCGTTCTATCACCTAGGCTCATGCAATTCTGAATAGACCAGCTGATGAGGACAGGGAAAGCAAGAAGCAGAATGGACTGGCAACTATTCTGTGGCCCACTAGATGTACTACAGCTCAAATGCTCTACAACTCAGTTTCATCTCAATGCCTGGAGGAGAACAGCAGATAGCTAGGCTATGTGCTGCCCAAAGAGTGTGGCTCAGTGGTCTGTATGAAAGTGAAGGCATCACCATGTCTCATATACTCCTGTCTAGAGACCAGTCACTAGAAGGAGAAAATAAGAGAAGGCTTTCCCGTTTAGTTTTAGGGACACTTAAATTTCCCAGTTTTCCATACTCCCACCATTTGGAGTATGAGGAGCCAGGAGACCAGTTTTTCCACAGCACTCTGAGGAACCACTATGAAAAACATACAGTGAGGAAGAGTTCAGGGGCCTAACTTGAATTGGACCTGAGATATATCAAATCAAAGAGAAGTCATAATTCACTGTAGGAGACAGGCTCACCTTAGGGGCAGAGAAGGTATAAAAGAACATACTCAGAGTAAACCCATGATGAACAACAGAGGGAAGATGAAAGCAAAATAAGCCAACTGTGTCAACTGCTCTCATCCAAGCATGCCTGAAATTTACACGACCATTTGGAGTCATTCAGCACTGACTAAGCATGACCATAGGCAGAATACAAAAGGCCTTGATTCCTATCATATTCTTTCTTTGTGTGGCAGATAGAAGTTAAGAAAGAATAAGAGAAGGCTGAGGGTCTTACATGCAACAGCCATAACTGAAAAGGCAGCATGTCTAAAAGGAAATGGTCCATGTAAGAAATGCTAAATTTGCAGCTTTTATGGGTCACCTCTCCAAAGATATGAGGTAGGCTAGGTCCAAGACACAGCCGAAACTGAAACTTTACTCCACGCTGCTTAAGAGCCTGATTGCCAAGTGTTACCTGCTTGCATGCCTGTCGACACTCCAAGGTAATAGCCAGTTCACAGCAGCCTAAGCCAACCCAGCCATCAGACTTCTTAAACACACCTTAAAAAGAAAATGTTCAAATGTTTTGGTCATAAGTAGTGACAAACACAAATAGAGTGCCAAACTGGTTCATGGATACCACTACAAGTCAAAGCAGGTGTCCATAAGAAAGCTAGCTTAGATAGCAGGGTCTCAAAGTATGAAGCCCCTCCTCCCACCCTTACTCTCAATGCTATCAGTCTTCTCAGGGTCCCTCACAGCATAATTACCAGGTCCTTTGTTTTTTTCCCTCTTCTCCCTGCCCACCCTAAACTCTCTTTAGCTCATTCTCACTCTTAGGTAAACAGAATCTCTAGAGGACATACAGGCTAAGGAAAGCAATGAGAGGCTTTCTTCACCTTTGGACTATGAACCAGAAGAGGAAAGGATTCCAATTTAACTTAATAAGCCAAACAAAAAAGGGCATGAGTATTATTGTATTCCAACATTCAAAATATTAAATACCTAGAATATCATAAAACACATGATGCTGTTTAAAAACTGATACTTAGTAAACAGACAGGAACATCTCCTGTGAGCCATGACTGACTTTGATGGGTATACTTTATTGTGGGGCAAAATGACTATTCTGGTTCAATTTATGCATAGCTCTATTTCTCCAACCAAATTACAGTGATACCAAAAGGTGATAAAATTACAAAGTGTTCTAATGCAATTTTCAGATCCCTTTTTGCAATCATAAATGTCAATGAATAACTCCTAGGATAAAATTAGGAGATATAAGTAATAATTATGAAAAAAGAAAAGATTCACTTGTAGGAATGCTACAAATTCCTTCTTATCTCTTTTAAGAAATGCTTTATGCTGCTTCCATATAATACATAGATCTGCAAATCCACATGTACATTAGATTATTATTTCCATTTTTTAAAAATGTCAGGGATTCAAGGCAATATGTAACATAGTTCTCTACACGAAACTAAGACCTAATATAACAAATAGAAGTATTCTGCTAAAAAACAAACCAAAGCAAACAAATGGCCCATGGACAGACAAAGCTCTCAAAATATAATCATAAACCATCCCAATTGTTAAAACTGGCTAAAAATCCTGCATATCATAAGCTTCTATAACCCTACATGTTTTAATGGTATAAAGGGCAACAGACTCCCATCTAGTCCCATTGCCTAGTATAGTTAGCTTCCTCTCAATCTTTGCTGCTTGCTATTCAGAATCACTCATATTCTAGAAAGAATTTTGAATGGAATCAATGTAGGTCATAAACTCTGTGAACTTTTACACCATAATGCATTTTACTGCTGTTTTCACATATCCAGTGCCTCTTAGAAAATATTAAATTATTCAACAAGCATTTACATTCACTGAACCCCTATTATGTACAAGACACTCTATTAGGTATTTTGTGGGCTATGAGATAGATAAAATATATGATTTATCCCTTTATGGAGATTACAATTTGATAGGAACAATACACACACATATATAATTGCAGACACTAGGGAGAGGGATAACTGGGAGAACAAGCAAGGACGTGGGCAATTCTAGGAAGCAAATAGTCCACTTTGTTTGAAATGAAAACTTCAAACAGTGTGAGAGCCTTCAGAATTCAGAGAAACATAAGATATAGCCCCTTTTTTTCAAGGCACTGGCTTTAACCAGGACTGGAAAATGAGCTTTAATCCTAGGAGACCATGAATACCAGGCTAGGGAGTTTGACCTTTATTCCGATGGAAGTGGATATCCCCGGAGGGATTTTTTTTGAAGGGGGTGGGGAGGACAGCTATGGTGTATTGAAACACCAGTTACAAGGTTATTGCAATAATCTACCCCAAAGGTGTAATCATAAAGGCTTGAACTAGCAATAGTGAGGATAGATGCAAGATTTTACAAGAAGGGCTTCCCTGGTGGCGCAGTGGTTGAGAGTCCACCTGCCGATGCAGGGGACACGGGTTCGTGCCCTGGTCCAGGAAGATCCCACATGCCGCAGAGCGGCTAGGCCCATAAGCCATGGCCGCTGAGCCAGCATGTCCGGAGCCTGTGCTCCGCAACGAGAGAGGCCACGACAGTGAGAGGCCCACATAACGCAAAAAAAAAAAAAAAAAAAAAAAAAAAAAAAAAAAAAAAAAAAAAAAAAAAAAAAGATTTTACAAGAAGAGAGTCAATGAGCTAAAAAGAAAAAGCTATCAGAGATAATGACTTGAGGGCTTCCAGTCTAGAGTGTCATTCACAAGAGAAAGCAGTTATAAGATGAGTTTGGTTTTGAATTGGCACTTCAGATGCCACCTGGATGCATAGATCCAGGTAAAGACGTGTAGAGGTCATGAACAATGACTTGGATTTGAAAGTTATCTTCCCAGAGCTGATTAGATAACAGTTCTGGGAAGGAATGTGGTTACCAGGGTGAATGTGGAGAGAGAAGGGAAGAGGACCACACACAGAAATAACTGTGGTAGTTATGGGGGGGACAGTGTGTGGGGGAGGTGGGGATAAGAGAGGGCAAAGTCACAAGGCCAAGGTGAGGTCACAAGGAGGGAGTGGTCAATCATATCAAGTGTCACAGGGAAGTCAAAGAGAATAAGTACTGAGAAAAAGCCATAAGATCTAGGAACCAAGAGATCCTGGTGATCTTTCAAAGACCAGTTTCAATAGAATGGTAGAAGTGGAGACAAGAGTACCATTAAGGACTGAGTGAATGAGAATTAATTATACATTTGAAAATTTGGGTGCCTACAGGAAGGAGAGGATAGAAATTCAAGGGTAAACATTAGGTTTCAGGACTATGACACAGATTTTACAATCACAAAATAAGTTTCAAAAAATAAAGCGCTAAATGTTGCAGTTCTATTGCTTACCTGGCAAAGATGAATTCATACAACTCCAAATTTCAACCTAAAATTGTAATCACCAAAAGACTTTTATGTAGATAACCAGTTCCTAAATATGAAAATTTCTACAGAAATTATGTATAGCTAATTTGATTATGTTTGTGTCTACACAATCAATGATCTAGAACTATATGAGTATCAACCAGCTATTCAGGGAAGAAAAAACAGAACTGAGATGTAAAAATGCTGCTTGCTGCTTTCCCATCTTTCCATCTGAGAGTACTAAGGACAAATATGGTTACTCAGGATGCTTACTAGGATAACTGTTTCCAAGCACAGAGATAAAAGTGCCTGTTGAGTGACTAAAGGAAAATATGTCAGTCAGAACTGTTTGATCATCAACCTTCCCCCCCATTTAACCCAAGCTACCTTATCTAAGGAGGCTCCCTCATGCCAGCTCAGACTTTCTTAGCCTGGCTCAGGAGTATCCCAAACGCTGAGGATGGCCCATGCATTAGAGGCATTTTAAGTTACATGCATGCAATACATTCAGACAGGCATGCAATGTATCTATAATATACCAGAAAATGGGAAGACAGAAGTAATGAGAAGTCACACATTTTCCCTTACCCCAAATCCAACTTTTTAAAAATCAAAATATATGTAAGACTTAGTTATTATGGTTTTCATAAAATTGTCAAAATATGATAATAAGTAAAATTCCCAATTCCAGATAAACTATTATAATGAAATTTAAAGACTGGAATATGTCATATACCTACATCATAGGTATAAAATAAACAATGAAAAACAATATTCTATCTAGCAATTTGTGTGAAGATCTTTTTAAAGTACCTAGTTAAATCTAACATTTTACTTTGACCACAAACCCCAATCACACTGAAAGATTTGCTAAATCTAAAGTAACTCATTAGAGTGCTTCATTAGACAAAAGCTTCCATAGTTCAGTTAAATAAGACCTACCATTGTTTCAGGGCAATAGTCTGGGGCTCGCTGCAACAGATGTTTTAGTCGGGATTCACTTTTTGAGGAGAATATCTATTTGACAAAAAAAAAAAAAAGTTTTGTGGCATTTTTTCAATAAGAAAATAGAGGAGGTAAACTTATCCTCTAGATTTATGAATTGTCTAGAATATTTTCCAATTTCCCTTTATAAACGGAAAACCTTTGGAAAGATCTAAATTAAGGTGAGGTAATATTTCTTGAAAGGTTGGTTAGCTTGGCAAATAATCAACAAAGTCTAAATACGGCAAGTCTAATGGTCAAAAATGGAGAAAACCAGCTGTTAACCTGTTAGGGTACAGGGGAGAAAAAAAAAAAAACAGAAAAGAAAAAACAATAAATCTATTCTAAACTGTCCTATAAACTGCTTTTAGTCAACTGACCACAATGAAAAATAGACTATGCCATACCCTTTATATTGGTGAAGAACAACTTTGTGAATAGCACTGTAGCAAAAACTTCTCCACAGAATTCCATAAAATAGAGACAAAGCCATCTTTTAAATAAAGCTGCTGAGGGGTTGACAAGTTCACTCATCAGGCTAGTTGGCTCACTTCCAACTACAACTTTAATTAATGCAATTGTAATTTGATGTCTCTGTAAATTTAAATCATTACATATATTATTACCTGCAAATAGTCAAGATTGTAAAGTCTATGAATGCTAACGACAATGAAAAAGGATTTATCTCCAGTTAGTTTTTCTTTCTCTTTTTTTTTTTTTTTGCGATACACGGGCCTCTCACTGTTGTGGCCTCTCCCGTTGCAGAGCACAGGCTCCAGACGTGCAGGCTCAGCAGCCATGGCTCACAGGCCCAGCCACTCCACGGCATGTGGGATCTTCCCGGACCGGGGCACGAACCTGTGTCCCCTGCATCGGCAGGTGGACTCTCAACCACTGCGCCACCAGGGAAGCCCAGCCTTTGTTTTTATAACACTGATACCTCTGAAGGGTACAGGCAGTTGTTTTGAGGAATATCCCTCAATCTGGGTTTGCCCTATTGTTTCCTCATGATTCTGGTTATGTATTTTGGGCAAGAATCCTACTTAAGATACTGTGCTCCATCATGTCAGCAGACACACGTTAATTTGTTCCATTATTGGTGATGTGAACTCTGAACACTTGTTTTAAGTGCTGCCCAGCAGATTTCTCCAAAACAATTATACTAAATAATATCTTCTACAATTATTATGTAAGCTTACCTGCTCACATACATCGCGGCACATTTGGTTATCCTTTGAATGATTACAACACAGCGCACCTAGGGAGAAAAAATAAACACCTGATGTTGCCTACTGTTAAATAAACATGATGATTAAGCTAAGCCAGATGGTTACACAAACCATTTATTCAACAATTATTACTATTACTATCCATTTTAACTCAACAAACCTTTGCTGAGTACCTATTTCAAGTCAAGGACGGTGCTGTGTTGGAGAATGTGGTTTTTGCCTTCAAGAAGCTTACAACCTAATAGGGGAGACTGTCATTTAGTAATAGCAGTTACTAGGTACTGTGTACTTTCTACATGCCAGAATTTTACTGCTTGCTTTATGTATTATCTCATTCAACCCTCATTATTACCCTATGGGCTATATTCTATTATTATACCTATAATGTAAGGTTAAATGATAAAAAGGTAGTGACTTTTGTTTTGGACATGTTACATGTAAGCCTCCATTATCTCAGTGAAGTAGAGATTAGGTCTGAAAACAAAAAGGATTGAGATGGTGTTGGGCTTGAGGTGAGGCTGTAGAGGTCTGGAACAGCCATCGTAGAGAATAAAGAAGGCAACTATAAATGTTTCTCAAACTTCTGTTCTATGAAACACTGTTTCATGAATTGTTAATATCTATCCCTCAAGAGAAAATGTTTCATGTTCAAATAAATTGGGAAACAAAGGATTAAAAAATTAAAGAGAATTCTTTTCTGTAGGATTTTATGTAGGCTTTAATATGTTAATATGCATCATTAATCTCCTAAAAAGGGATCTAAGTAGACAGATTTCTCAGAGCACAGAATACTTTTTTTCATGCCACGTATTAACATTTCAGAATGCCAATCTGAGAAATATCAGAGAAAAGGAAACATTTGCCAAGCAGCATTATGGGCCCAGAGAAATTAACAAATTGGTGATAGAGATAATCAGCAGGGGCATGTTACTATTCTAGAGTGATGCTGACTGGAAAAAAAAGATACTACATTGATCAGTGACTGTTTAGACTGCTAAGTCAAAAAAGACAAGGACATAAAAATATTATATTTCAGGCAGCTAGATCAATACAATGGTTTTATATATATATATGCAACATAATCTCTTTAAATGAAATCTATATAATTTCAGTATACGTGAAAGCAGAGCTTTTTTGATTGAAGGTAGGATTAGTATTGGGGAGAAATGAATGAATAAAAAAGGTCCTATTTAGCTCTTACCAACTCCTTTAAGTTCAAAACCAATCACTGTTAATCCATAAAACAATGACAGGGTATATGATATTACTGTGATATATAGTGATATTATAGTGACATTATATCACTATATTTAGTTTCATAAAAGACTACTGTGGGGCTGGCTTTCTAATACTATGTTGGAAAAGCTGTCTTAAAGTTCTAAACATTTGACTTTAAAATTCTGAAAAACATATAGAAATTCCATTAAGTTTCAGAAATTTTAAAAATTCCTTGTTTATAGGCTGTAGTTGCTTTCTTAGAAGCTACTAACTCGAGGGAGGGCACAATCACTCATGAGACTTTCTCACAACACCCCTTCTCCCCTGCCATGCCACACCATGCCGACCCCCTCTTCTAAGATTCTGTTATGTCCCCAGCCTCATTAGAATGGAGAAGACAGGCAGGAAAAAAAGGGGGGGAGTCTCCTGTGTGATACTGATGTGCTCTTTTGAAGTGCTCGAGTTGTTGCCACTTTCTACTATCCTCCAACAACAAAGGTCACACGAGGGCAGAAAATCCAGCTGATCAAGAGCAAAGATAGCTCAGGATAACATATGGTCCCAATAAGCACAGGCTTAGCAAAAAGTAAACAGTCAGGCAGACAAGAGTCTGACTTGGGCCTAAGGATTTTTGGAAAAAAGTTTCTTGGAGCAAAGGTCTATTTAGAACAGAAACATAAAACATGTCATAATTAAAACTCCAATAACAATGAAAGGTTTTATTAAAAATATAAAGGCCTGTTTTTTTCCTATTTAATGGTGAAGGTCAAATTTATAGTGGAGTGACCACCAAAGTTAAAATTTTAAAATAATTCATTTTTTCATTAAGAAACCCCAAAATTTGGAAAATAAGAAGAAATGACCTAATATTCCCACTGTCCTGCCAGAACGTGTGTTGACATTTTGACATATTTCCTTCTAGTCTTTCCAAAAGTCTTCTGAAATTTCTGACAAAATGGGATTAAAGAGAGCAGCCTGAAGTCTTCTGGTAATAATGCCCTTTCCCCTCCCAACCAAGCATTCCTCTGTAATAGTGCATTTCCTCCCTTGAGAGGACTGCCACCCTCCTAGAACAGGCTAGGGGACCTACACTCCATCACATTTTCCACACTTTATTTTTAACCTTAGTCATCTTTACATTTTTCTTTCTTTGAAACAACAAAAACTTACTAGAATCTTAAACACTGCATATTTTTTAAGAAATAAATATCTACAAATAGATATCAAGTCATATGCCTTCATTAAGAATGAGGGCAGAGGATTCAAACGCAATTAATGTGGCAATTAAAGGTCTCTGTCTTTTTTAGAGCTTTTAAAATGGATTAATTGGGTCACTGAACTATTAGAGTGCAAAAAAACTCTCCAAAGCCTAATGGTTTATACAAGAGAAGACATTGTGAATTCTAGAAATGTTTTGTTTTTATAATTTAATTCTAACCTAATTTCTAGCTCTTCAAGAATAGTTTAAAACTCTGGTTATTTTCATAAAATGGAACTGAGCAGATAAAGGTAAATTAGTTCAAAATAACACTTGATATTGACAGGATGAAAATAAATAGCACAGGTGTTATCCTTATTAGAGACATAAGGAAGAGCGTCATATTTTGCATTCTTATTCCAAAAGTCTGTAATTATAAAATTAATAAAAACCAAAAACTGATTACTAAAGGCCATGTATATTGGGTTTAAGAAGGTATTAATGTAACCTAGAAATATGCGAGTAGAATCATCCAATAATTAGAAACATCAAGGTTTGTCTGCTGGTTTGGACCACATGTCTACTAAAGATAGGCAAGTAAGCAGGAAGCACATGCTCCAGCCACAAGGGAAAAATGCAACTTCTAAGACCAACCAGCATTTAAAAAAAACAAATACACACCCTAATCTAAAGCTAAAATATTCACAGAATTATAGGATTTTTGAAGTTAAAAGAGATTTTGCCACAGAAGCCTCCCAAAAGCTGTAATTCAATTTGGTTAATGAAAAGCCAGTCTTGTTTTCTTTTCTAAAGAAAATAAAGATTCCTTCTAATTAATGTATTCCTAGAGAATTACTAGAACAGAATATATATATCCTGCACTATTGAAGGGGAAAAAACTAAATCCAAGTTGATAGCGGAAAACAGTCATTTCAAATAAAAAAGATACATTAATTTTAAAAATCTCATCTTACTTTTAATCAAATGTTTTTTTCTATAATGGCCTGGAAATTGACAATCACTTTAAAAACATTTAAATGACAACTGCAACTTTAACTTATAAATGCATTCTTACAATTGTCACATTTATCCCTTCAATGATATATATGTTTGTGTATATACATAAAATATATCATCAGCCAAGGAAGAGCCAAACAATAAAATGATTATTTATATACCCACCACCTGGATTCAACACTGCTAACATCTTGTCATACCACTTTATTTATCTAGACAGATGGATATCCTTCTCCATTGCTTGCCTCATACTGCACTGCTACAACAGCCAATTATGCTCATTCTCTTCTATTATCAATGAGTGCCAGATTAATTTTTTAAATAGACCTTTCATGATGTCACTCTTCTAATCTAAGGGCCTACAGTGGCTTCCTGCTATTCCAGTTCTAAATTTTCCAAGTCATCTTCTTACCTCCCCTTCCCTGATCTTCTATTACTTTTTAACAAGGAAAGCCTACATTTACCTTGAACACAGCCTTCTGCCTGAAGTGCTTAGTGCCCTCTTTCCTGCTGACATAAATCCTAAACATCTTTCAAGGCTGAAATCTCATCTCAACTCTTAGTAAGCCTTTCTTCTCCAACAACTCCAGGCTATGTTGGTTTTTTGGTTATTTAATGTCTTACGATTCCAGTCAGAACTGGAAGCTTTAACACTTAACTCTAATAATTTCATGTGTGTACTAATGGTATCTCCAGATTGAACAGAAACTTCTTGTACCCATTTAGCACAGTGCTCAGCTTGAAAATTTGTATTTATTCATTGGTTAATAATAATTTCCTATTTATACAATGCCTTTTTAATCAGAAAATAAAGTACAAAAAGTTTATTTCTCCCACTATACCACTGCCATACCATATTTCACACGGTGACCAAGCCATGATTTAGCAAACATCATATGAGTTTTTGACCCAGGTCAGAAGATAAGCTGGACCCAATCATATGCACAGGCACAGAGGTATACAGCCAGTTGGGGGTGGGCTCTGCAACTATAAGGTCAAGATGAGCTGGGGCTGAGGAAGTTTTATGGTGTGCAGAAACCATGAGTAAAATGAGGAAGCTGGTTGGTGGAGAGTGTGAAATGCAAGAGATGTACAGACAGACTCTATGAGAGGTAGAGAGAGACTGTCTCTAAAAGTAGTCTTGGTTGCTGGCAGCTTTCCAGTTCCCACAGCAGTTCCTGAGGTTGTGCTGTGCTCAATTTCCTATGCTTGGATTTCCATGTGTTCCCTGTTAGATGCTATATAACTAGCTCCCTAATCCTGAGCAACCTTGGTTTCTGTTCTTTTGGGGGTCAGAAGAGCCTTAACACATTATCATTCATAATTATGAAACAACTAAAGCAAATGACTCCTCAGATCCTCCCTGCAGATGCTAATACCCAGTACTCTCAGATAATTCCCTTCCCCATTCTATGCCATAGGACACCCACCTGTAAAACAAGGGATCTGAAAATATTAATGTCTGGCTCCCAATGGTATAGTCCATGGTCAAAATGTTTCTCTTAATACTTTTCCTGAAGTCTTCTTCATGTAATCTATGTGCTCTACGGCACCCGTTACTTGACTAAATCACATTTTTCCTCAAATACATTCAGATTTAGAATATAAATGGATATGTACTAATATAACCACATAAATATTAGCAGTGTAGATATTATACACTTTTTGGTGATATTTAATGTCTGATGTTCTCACTAAACCTTAAACCCCACGAAAGCAGAGACCATGTCTGTTTTTGCTTACCACATTATATACCTAGTGCCTATCAGTGTCTGGCACTATTAACCCCTTAACAAATATCTGCTGAATGGAATACTTACAGGCATGAAATTAAGTTTAGAAAGCAATGGACCAAGGGGAGTTATTCCTAATATCCATCTTAAACACATACAAAAACGGAAATTTTGATTCTCTTCCTGACTCACCTGCCAACCCTCCAACTTGGTCCTACCCATCTTCTCAACCTCAGTAAATAGCATTACTTTTCACTAAGTTGCTCAAGGTAAAAATCTATAAATAATCTTTACTGCCTCCTTCCCTCACTTCCACATCCAATCCAACAGCAATATATCTTGACTCTCTCCTCTTCTATCTCCACCACCACTCTACGGTAAGACGTTATCTCCTGCTTCAACTACTAAATGGGCTTCTAGTAGCTCTGCTTTTACTCCTACCCTATTACGATCACTTTTTTTCATTCAGCAGCCCGCGTGATCTAAAATAGAAATCAAAGCACTTATCTCTTACTTAAAAGTCCATTGGTTTTTATTTGCATATAGAATAAAATCCACAGTCCTTACGTGGCTTTTTGCAAGGCCCAGCACCATCTAGCCCTGGTTTACTCTCCTGCTCACTATGTTGCAACCATACTGACCTACTGTTCTTTCTTGCCTTAGGGCCTATGTACTTCCTGGTCTCCACCCGGGCCTTTTCTAAGGACAGCACCTTCGGTCTTCAGATTTCAGTTCAGAACCTTAACTTCTCAAAGAAGCCATTCTTGTCATCACTATGTTAAGAACCACTCCCCTCTAAGAGCCAGGGGTTCCCAACCCCTGGCCATGGACTGGTGGCCCATGGTCTGTTAGTAACGGCCCTGTTAGGAACTGGGCCGCACAGCAGGAGGTGAGTGGAGCGTGAGCGAGTGAAGCTTCAGCTGCTGCTCCCCCACTGCTAGCATTACCGACTCAACCATCCCCCTCCCCCCGTCCCCCACCCCGTGGAAAAACTGTCTTCCACGAAACCGGTCCCTGGTGCCAAAACGGTTGGGGACTGTTGCTCTACGCTACCATCTATGTATTTCCTTCACAGCATATTTAACCCTACCAGAAATCATTTTATTTAACTGTTTATTGCCTGTCTCCCCTCTGCTAGAGTAAGCCCCTTGAGAGCAGCAACCCTGCACGTAGAACAGTGCCTGGCATATAGTAAGCATGCAAATATTTTTTGAATAAACAAACCCCTGTAGTATCTGTTTTGCTCTTTTAAAAAAACACATTTATAATGAATAAAAACCACCTCCTTGATATTGTCCCACTTTCTTCCAGAAGTGACATATGGTGAAAAGCATGGTTAATGAAAGACTGTTTAAAATCTATGGATGTAAGATAGAAACTTTTAGTAGCACACCAGAATAAACTGTCATATCTGGTCTATCACCAACTCTAGCTCTTTGTACAGTGTGGGCCAAGATAGTTCTTAGGGAAGAGAATCTGCTTCTTATTACATTCCTCCAGATAGGCGGTTGCTTTTTCTAACTTAAAATTCATTACATTCTTTTTCAGGATTCTAGGCTGACTATTACATAATTTCTTAAATGTCAACTTATTGAAACCTAGCCCTTAATGTTACATCTTTCTCTCTTTTGTACTATTAGAAAATATCTTAAATGGAAACAGAGCTAATATCAGGTGCCACGACACACAGATCCTGAGACTGCAGCATAGGGTTCCATCTCATCCTCCAAAGGGAACACTAGAGGTGCTGGGGAGGAGAGCTGGGGGTGTTGAGGAGACCAGAAAGTACACAGGATAGGAAGTGTGGCATTACTCCAATGAGGAGGGTGTGGCCAAACTTCACAGGAGAAAATAATAATTGAGCAAGTCAAATGATTCCTTCCCTCACCCCCTCTCCCCCAACAGGAACAAAAATCTCCAAGTCAGAACGGATGAGACTTGTGTAACGCTTTATACCAGAGGAGACAGGAGTACCCAACTTTGGATGGGGTAAGGAGATGGGAAAGAAGACTGTCTGAGCAGGAATATAAGTCAGGCCTTCAATGAAATACAATTTAATATTGTGTTCTTAATTTTTGTTTAGGATTGAAGAACATTTTCCACAGTTTATACAAATCCACAGTGGAAGCCTTTGTCCATTGTATTACTCAACGCCCTTTATGTAAGGAACCAGGCAATATATGCCTAAGAATTTAGTACAAGGGACAAATCTCACTTTTACATCAAACTTGGAATTTTTCTTCTTACCAAACAATGCAAACTCTATATTGTCATGGACTTTTTGAATTGGTAGGTCCTTTAGAAATCATCTAGCCCAGAATTTTCTAAAGTGTGCATTAGGTGTTATGAAGAAAAAAAGAGTTCTTTAAGCAAACAAGTTTCTTTCTTTCTTTGCATAATAATTTTATTGAGATATAAATCATGTTAAATTAATAAAACAAGGAGGCCATCAGACTGAGGCAGCTTCAATGCCTCAGTAGCCTACCTAAGCAAGCTAAAACCTAAGCCTATAGTGCCCCAAGGTTAAGAAATCAGAACCCTAAGGACAATCAATTGCAAACAGCCACCTGGACTTTCTCAAATAAGGCACCTGCTCAAGCTATAACCAATCGAATATTTCCTTGCTTTGTTTCCACCTCTTTCATAAAAGTCCTTCCCCTAGCTCCTGTTACTTCCCATTTGGCACTGCCCAATTCAAATCAATTTTTGCTCAAACTCTTAACATTTTAATATGCCTCAGTTTATCTTTTAACAATCATATACCACAAAATTCATCCTTTTGAAGTGCACAATTCAGTTGTTTTTAGTACATTTACAGAACTGTGCTCACCACTTTCCAATTCTGAACATTTTCATCACCCTAAAAGAAACCCCACACCCATCAGCAGTCAGTTCCCCATTTCTCTATTCTCCCAGCGACAAGTTTCTTTACTACAGGAATACTTGTGAATTATTATGAATCTAACGTGTTTGCGAATTTATAAGAGAGGGGTACAGTGTACAGTGTTTCCCAACCTTAAGAGCTAACATTTCAGTGCTTACTATATGCTATTCTAAATGCTATACATGTATTACCTCAATTCTCACAATAAAATCTATGAGAATTTCTGTATACAATAAATGTGGATACTAAAGCACAAAGAGACTAAAGCTAACTAATTTGTTCAAATATTCTTAACTATATTCTACCCTGCTATCTCCCACAGAACTGACTAGTTGTAGAATAAGAATGGACGACTAATTTTCTAATGAACCATAACTTTGAAAGTGCTTTAGTTCAATTTCTTTAACTTAATGACAAAAATGGGACCCACAAAGGTAAGCTGATTTAGCCACGAATACACAGCATTCTCTCTCTCTCCTTTGATTTGTCTAATTGACAGCTTGTTAGAATCCAATTATAATTAACTATCTAACCCCAGGTTCCTGACAATCCTCTCCTTTCTTCAAATACTCTTGACTTAAACAAAAAAAACCTTTAACATTGTAAGCTACCTTATAACCTTGAGACTGATTTTGCTCTTTCTAGGTGTGTCTCCCTGTAAGCAATGCACTTCTCCACCACTTTTGCATGTATAAATCCCAGCCATCTTTTAATATCTAGTGCAGTTGGGGCGTCACTCAATTTTCTTCCTGCCCTAGGTGGACATCATCCATCATCTCTCTCCCTCTGTGCACTCACAGCCCTTCATCTCCTCTGGACCCTTCTGCCTTGAATTCGAGTTGCTCATGTCTTGTTGCACCCCACCTCCTAGCCAGAGCTGCTGGAAAGCAGGAGATGGCAACAACTCCTAAAAGCCCAGCACATGAGAGACACTCAATAAGCACTGAACAGCTTGCTATCCACTAGTGGTCTAATTCCTCTAGAGCAAGAACTAAACTTTCCTCAAGCCAGTAAGCCCCCAAAGAGTCAGTTTACTGGATTTTAATCTGTCTCCTGCCAGAGCCCAGCGCTGTCTTGGACACACAGCATACCCACAGCGAACGGCAGCAGAATTGGATTTAGTAGGCTTGGATCTATTCTCTTCTGAGACTTCAGAAGTCAGGCAGGCTGCAGGGCCCATCAATGCTCGCTGCCCGAGGTTGGCCTTTCTGAACCGCGGGTCAAGGAACAAGCAACAATAACTGGCCAGGGCGGGGGTAAGGCGGCGGCACCTCATAAATCCTATCCGACCCTCGCGACGATCCTGGGCAAAGGCATTCACTCTCTTCGTACAGTGACCCGAGCCGGGTGAGGGGATAAGGGCTGAGCTGGGGGCCCCTGCTCGATGGGTGACAGAATAAGGCCTCGAACCCGGGTCACCGCTCCCAGTTCAGCAGATCGGGGAGGGGAGAGCGAGCGTGGAGAGGGGTCCTGCTCGTCCCGCCTCAGCTCCTCCTGCAGCCTGCTGGGACCTCCGGACCCCGGGTCACCGGACTTGGGCCGGGTCTGGGGGTCGCCGGCACCCCCGCCCCCTGCCCCGCGCCATCTTGGAGCGCTGAGGCGGCCGCTCCGAACCGCCGCTCCAGCAGTTACTCACCCGCACTGCCCGGGTCCAGGCCCCCTGCCACCTCCGCGACCCCTGCCACGGCCAGGAGAAGCAGTAGCGCGCCACGCGGGGAGGCCCGGACGGTCGCCATGTCCGGGCCGGGGGGTCCGGAGCCGCGGGATGCTCGGACCCAGCCTGCCCGCCGCCGCAGCTCGCGGAGGCCCCGCCCCGGCGGCCTGGGCCCTTGGTGATTGGCTGCGGCGTGCTGAAGCCCCGCCCCTCGGCCGCACAGACTTTCCAAAACCTGCTGGGGGCGGGAACCTGCCCGAGACCCGGGCTCTTTGTTAAGGCCCAGCTGTGTGTCGGCTTCTGCCGCGGAGTACCGCAGCCACCGTTCTCTAAGAGGGGAGTCGGAGGATGTAAGAGCTGGAACCGCCCTTGGAACGCCTGGTCCTCCCGAGGTTTGCAGATGTGGTCACTGAGGCTCAGAGAAGAGACCATCTGCTCCAGGTCACACTGCAAGTTCGCCTGAGAACTGGGGCATAAGCCAAGGCTGAACCAAAAGGACTTGTCCCTTTCACGTACCTTCAATGGTCTTAAAATCCTTTCTGCCAGACGCTGCCTCACACCCAAAGAAGGCGTGCCACCCGGGACAACTCCCGAAATTGGAGGGAATCTGCCGCGGACACGGTCCCCTGACAAGGGCCCGAGGCCCGAATTCGCCACCAAAGCTCTTTGGCACGTGTAGCCTCAATGTGTCTTTGATGTTCTAGGTACCTATTCCTATCAGGAAAATGTGGGGAGAGAAATGCTTGTGTATCTAAATATGGAGAGCCTTGAATGTCAGGTTGGGTTTCGACTTTTAAAAGACAATTTGGAGGTGGGTCCCCACTCCACCCCTTACCCCCACAGCTCCTGTGGGGTATGTTTGAGAGGATTCACTTGCTATCAAATCGTTTTCCACCCTGGTCCCTCTCTCCCTCCTCCTCTCCCTCTCTTTTCCGTTTGTGAATTATGTTAATACCTTTTTCCATTCCCCTTCCTTTAAAAAAAAACATAACCACAGTTACATTTTAAAATACCTAATGTTAAATATCCAGTAAGTTTACATTTTCGTTATTGTCTCATAATTTCCTTTTACAGTTTTTCAAGTTCCACCCAATGTCCATATACTGAAATTGGTTTGTATGTCTTTTAGGTATCTATTCCCTCTCTTTTAGGTTTACAAAAGGAAAACATGAATAAGTTACAATAATCTTTCTAAAACATTTGCTGTGGCAACAATTCTCTTGCTCCTCTGAGAGGCCGCCTCTTTACTTACAAGATAGAATGATGTACAGTTATTCGACGTGGTGTCAGAGGTTCTCAGCATTTAGACCCAGTCACCTTTACCACTTCATCCCACCTTACTCCCCACTCCTCCCCAGGAGAGAAGAGTCAAAAATCCTAGAGTTGCACTAATATGGTAGCCACTAGCCACATGTGGCTGTTGAGTACTTAAGATGTGGCAAGTCCAAGTTGACATGTGCTGGAACCAGATTTGGAAGACTTAGTATGAAAACAATAATGTAAAATGTTACTAACATTAATTTCACCTTTTTTTTAAACTTGTTTTTGTTTTACATAGGCTTTATTTTTTAGAGCAGATTTAGGTTCACAGAAAAACTAAGCAGAAGGTACAGAGATTTCCCATACACCCCCTTTCTCAGCATAACAACATATGCACAGACTCCTCCACTATCAACATCCCACACCACAGTGGTACGTTTGTTGCAACTGATCAACCTGCATTGACACATCATTATCACCCAAGGTCCATAATTTACCTTAGGGTTCATTCTTGGTGTTAACACATTCTGTGGGTTTGGACAAACGTATAACAACATGTAGCCACCATTATTCTTTTTACTTTTTTAATGTGCCTTTTAGAAAACTTACAATTACATATGTGGTTCACTCTGGCGTTTACATAGTTCTGTTGTACAGTGCTGGTGTAATTATCTTTCATTCTAAACAAAGGTTAATGCTTAGAGGTCATCTTTAAAATGGAACTTTAAAAAAATGTTACTGGCCAATGATTTTGTCCTGAGCTCAAGAACATCTTTCAGTATTTTAGATAAATAAACCCCATCAAATCTTTTGATTCATCTTTGTGTAGTATAATTTCCCCATCATTTTACTTTTAATTTGTTTTATATTTAAAGTAAGTTTCCTGTAGAAATCATATAGTTGGTTGCTTTTTTTCTTTTTAATTTAATCTGACAATTTGTCTTTTAATTGGAATTTTTAGATCCTTTTGATTTAATACAACTATTGATATGGGTGAGTTAAATCTATCTTGCAATTTGTTTTCTATTTTCTCCATTTGTTCCTTTTTTCCACTTTTCCTACCTTCTTTTAGAATAATAAAGTGTTTGGAGTGTTGTTTTTATGATTTCATTTTATCTCCTCTATTGGCTTATCAGCTCTACTTCTTTGCTTTATTTTTCAGTAGGTGCACTGGGGTTTATAGTATACAGTTTAACTTATTACACTCCACCTTCAAATAATGATCACTGGGCTTCCCTGGTGGCGCAGTGGTTGGGAGTCCGCCTGCCAATGCAGGAGACGCGGGTTCGTGCCCCGGTCTGGGAAGATCCCACATGCCACAGAGCGGCTAGGCCCGTGAGCCATGGCCGGTGAGCCTGCGCGTCCGGAGCCTGTGCTCCGCAACGGGAGAGGCCACAACGGTGAGAGGCTCACGTACCGGAAAAAAAATAATAATAATAATAAAAAAAAAAAATAATAATAATAATACTTCATGTCAAATGTAAGAACGTGACACCAGTATACTTCCATTTTCCTCTCCCATCTTTTGTGCTAATGTTATCATACATTTTGCTTCCACACAGTTATTATTTTGCTTTAAGTAGTCAATTACTTAAATAAGAGATTATAAAATGAGAAACAATGTGTTTTAAATTTATTTATTTATTGGTTGTGTTGGGTCTTTGTTGCTGCTCTCTCTAGTTGTGGCAAGCGGGGGCTACTCTTCGTTGTGGTGCATGGGCTTCTCATTGCAGTGGCTTCTCTTGTTGCGGAGCACAGGCTCTAGGCACGCGGGTTTCAGTAGTTGCAGCACGTGGGCTCAGTAGTTGTGACTCTTGGGCTTAGTTGCTCCCACAGCATGTGGGATCTTCCCAGACCAGGGCTCAAACCCATGTCCCCTGCATTGGCAGGTGGATTCTTAACCACTGCACCACCAGGGAAGTCCCAACAATGTGTTTTATATTTACCCACATGTTAAGCATTTCTAATGCTCTTCATTCCTTTATGTAGCTCAAAATTTCTCTCTAGTATCTAGAGGAAGAGAAACATTTTTATTAAGAACATGGCAAGTTTTGCTGATTTTAATTAACTAGGACCCCATACATTGGTTTTGGGAATTTATGCATAGTAAATTCCTGAAGTTAATCTTTAATGGAAATAATTTTTCTGGGTTTATTTAGCCTAAACACATTTTCTTATCACAAATTGACCTATCTTGATAAGGGATAGGTCCATTTTGAATTCTTTAAGACTTTATAAAGTCATATATATATATATATATATACACACACACACGTATATATGTATACACACACATATATATGTATACACACATATATGTATACACACACGTATATATGTATACACATACATATATGTAAACACACACACATATATATATATGGTGCCAATTTTTTGAAATATTAATATATTTTAAGTATATTCCCAGTAATTTCTTTACTAAAACTAGACATGAGAGCAAGGCATTCATTTCCTCAGGGATGATTATTAGAGTAGAGAAGTAGACAAAGATAATTCCTAGCTTTTTGGTTTTAAAAACAAGACATCTGAAATTCCCAGAGACAGTGGTTTTAAGAGTAAAAGCTTTTGAGATATCAGAACCTAGCCCAAAAGGCTGAGGGTGTAAAATATTTTTCTGAACAATGGACTTGTGAGAATACCGTGGTCAGTCAATACAATCCCTCCACCCCCATCATTCCCCAACAACTTGACTCCCTCTGATGGAGGAGGAGAGCCACTGGAGAAGGGAGGCTACTGTGGGCTGGGACACAGAACCCCAGAAAGGCTTGAGAATGTGAGATAAGAGGGGATCTGAGCCTCGTTTCCCATGGAGCTCAGGGAAGTGACACACCTCATAAAGTTCCACTGCGCTGAGCATGATGGGAGTGTAGAGGAGAAATGGCTGCAGGTATGTACTGTTCCTCGCTCCCCACCTAAAGTGACACAGAAGAGGAGCTGAATGTATTCTATGCCCTTTGAGAGGGGCAAGGCAGGAGCTGAGAGCCTGAAGACGCCTCAAGATCAGAATGAGGAGGCTGTAGCTGGTATTTGCATGGTCTATACACTGGACACCAGGTGAGAATGCAGGTGTCAACAGGGATTGATGATGACAACTGAGGACCAGATGTCCTGCCTTCTTCCTCAGTCCCAGTTGGTGGGTTTGATTCTGTATTTTCCTCTCAAAACTCGGGAGGGGGTTGGGGAGAGGCCTTGACTAAGCTGAGATCCTACTGAATTGACTGAGATTAAGTTTTAGTCATTCAGCAGGAAGGGGACTCGCAGAGACAAGTAGCTGTCCATCAAAGATTTGTGCAGCCCTTCTAGAAATTGTTGCTTGGAAGCAACTGCCCAGCCAGAGCAAACATTTTCTAAGTGCCATCGTGTTCTCTGTTGATTTACTAACTGTGAATATGGCCTTGGAAAACAAAGGATCCCATGACCTGGAGCAGAATCGGTGTATCTGAAAGCCCCGTTGACCCCTATATTGAGATCTCACAGGAGGGAGAGAAGCCCTAATGCCAAGGCATCCAACACCAACACGTTATACAATTTAGCATTGTGACCTTAGTCTGTGATACTGGTACAATATCCTGCCAGCCTCCAGTGAGCCCTCTGAAGATATGAGCTTGTGAGTATGAAATTGTCCCCATTCTCTACTTTTCTTGCCTGTGTATTTCATTAATTTTCAAACTTAAAAAATATTATTTTTATTTTTTAGCAGTGGAATCCTTTTTCCAACAAAATCTTAGAGTCCTGCCATACAAAATAGAAAAAAGCTGTGTTTTAGTGCTACATTTATTTTCTAAGTTCAAATTTATAATAATTAATAATAATTAACTGGTTCCAAGATAATAAATGAGAATTCA